TATAAATATTTTACTTGATTGGGTCACCAGTAAAGATCCAGCACTAATAATTAATTCTGCTAGAGGCTTGGCAAATATTTGCTATGAAAATGAAAAAGCTGCAAATTTTGTAAACAAGAAATATCTACAAAACATTTTACTTAATATTAATCCAGCAAATAAAGAATGTAATGACATTACTGCAAAATTGGTAGGAATGTTAGCTAATATATTAAACTTTAATGATGAATTGGCTAAATACTCCATTAATAATAATATAATAGATAAAATTGAATTGGTATTGGCAATAAGTAAACATTCTTTAAAAGAAAATGAGACCCTTATTTCATTAACATTAAGCCTTGTAAATGTTCTCTCTGATTATTACAATGAGTTAAATGTATATTTTTCAGAAAGTTTTTTTGAAAGCCTGTTATACATTTTTAAAACATCTGCAAATCCTGAAATTGCTGTAAAATGCTTAGAAATTTGCCATGGACAATCAGAGAAAGGTTTTATTTTGAAGTATTTTTATTGTAAAAATTATAAAATATGTATGTTTTTAGATGAAGTTTTACTACTTTTTGCTCAGAAAGGAATATGTGAGTTATTATTTGTACTAATTGAAAAATACAAATGTAAAGTAAATGATGAAGAAACACGCTCAGTTTTGAATATGGCTTGTGACTTATTGGTAACCATACTAACAAAAGGTAGGTTTGTTCTGCTTTTAAAATAGCTGTGTCTATTTGTATATGCTGTATTACTGTATATAAGGCATTTGGTTCTCGTAAGTTTTTTGTACATAATAAGTCATACAGTGGCATATTAAAATTGTCTGAGTGTTTTTTTATTTTAAATTAAACTTAATAAAGTTCAGGGGTATTATTACTGAACAAAGAACACATAGAAAATACTCTTGAAGGCATCCTTTTGACATCGTTAGATCAAAGCATCACCGGCAACGCATTTACGTAGGCAGGGACTAAATGTTTTGATTACAAGGGCACTGCATTTTAAAGTATTGTAAGAAGTTACTGAATATTAATTCGGTATAATAAACAAATAAAACAACTTAATGTTGAACTGCAAAGAAATATAATTTAATTTTTAAACTTTACCCTGTTAATTTCTAGCACTCCTTTAGTAATTTATGCAAAAAAAATATAAAGTGACTATGAGGTTTTATAACTTGCCATTGGCTCGTTTAAAAGTTTTTCTTACATGCAAAAAAGTGGGTCTATATTAGAGTTGTATAGGTACATTATTTTTTCTAATGCCATGATAAATAAATAATAAATAAATAAAGTTTTTATTGCATATTCAGTACAATACAGAACATATAATACAAAACATACAAAAGGCCATCGACCGGGGTCCTTCAGCCTAACCATGATAATTTCATACATAATTACTAAAATTTTGAAGAAAAAAATTTATTATTTTATTTTGACATGTTCTTACATATGTCAAAAACTTAATTTAAATTTATTTAAGCCATCTAGGAATAAATTGTAAAGTTGGTATAAATTATTATAGGGATGGGCATGATTTAGATCATTTTGGATCTATATCTCTAAATACGATCCGATCCTGATTTATGATTTAGGATTTAGTTACATTTTGGTACAAGATTTATGATTTAGGATCCAAATCATTTCTTTATTTCAGATTTAAATCTAAAAATTAAATTTAAGTTTGATTTACTTAATGTTCGTTATTGAAAATTTTAAATGCACCAATCAAAATATATCAAATTATGTCAACTGCGCAAAGATATTTACGCAGTTGACATGGTTTGATATATTTGATTGGTGCATTTAAAATTTTCTAGGAAAAAAGCAATTTGCGCAGTTCTGTCAGAGTCTCTGGTTCTGTGTTCAGTCACTGAATTTCAGTGGCGCAGTTGTCAACTGCCAGTTGACATAATTTGGTAATGGCGCGCCAACAACATTTTATTTTTTACTCCAACTATTTAATAAATAAAAATTTATTTATGGATTTAGGATTTAAATCTTTTTTGCAAGTGTATTCAAGATTTATGATTTAAATCCAGTTTATAGTGTGGATTTATGGATTTAGATTTAAAACTTTAAGCCGGATCTAATAACATTAAATAATTTTTATTCAAAAAAGAATTAATTTAATTTTTAATTTATTTGCTGATTTAATTGTAATGCAAAAATAGTTTTTTCTACAACCGAGCGAAAAGTACAAATTTGCGCTTCCAAAAATAAAAACCATCCGTTAAAGTATTGCACGTTAATTATGGAACACCCTGTATATATTTATATATATATATATATATATATATATATATTAGGGTGTGCCAAAAAAACTCGATATTTCTTTTTTCTTGCTCTCCACCCAAAATATCGTAGAATATGTCCGAACAAATATTCTGTTAAAAGCGGAGCTCATAATTTCAATTTTAAGAGGTCCCTCATCGAATCTGAAGTTTTGCCGCTTAAATAACACAGAAAATTGACTGTTTTACCTTATTTATTCTTGCAACCTAGGAAGAAATTTTTTTTTCATAAAATCCATGACCAAATCTTACAAAGCTTTAAATTTGGACGAAAAAATCTTATTGTGCCGAATTTCTATTTTCATTATTTGATTTTTTACAGAGCTTTAAATTTAAAATTTTACGTTTTTTGCCTTTTTCAGCTAAACTATTGAAGTTAGACGAAAAAGTCAAATGGCAATTTTTTAGCTTGTCTGATGGACCACAAAAAAGTTTTAGGCGAATTTTTTGTATCGTCAATATTCTAAAAGTTACAGGCGTATAAATTTATCATTTTTGTATTATTAACTTTAAATTTAAAGCTCTGTAAAAAATCAAATAATGAAAATAGAAATTCGGCCTAATAAGATTTTTTTGTCCAAATTTAATGCTTTGTAGGAATTAGTCATGGATTTTATGGAAAAAAAGTTTCTTTCTAGGTTGCAAGAATAAATAAGGTAAAAAAGTCAGTTGTCTGTGTTATTTAAGCGGCAAAACTTCAGATTCGATGAGGGACCTCTTAAAATTGAAATTATGAGCTCCGCGTTTAAGAGAATATTTGTTAGGACATATTCTACGATATTTTGGGCGGAGAGCAAGAAAAAAAAAATATCGAGTTTTTTTGGCACACCCTAATATATATATATTTATATATATTATATATTCTTTAATAGTTTATTATGTATCAAGTTTTATAAACTACATTTTAGTTTTATTAGGCACGATTGAAGCTTGCGAGCTGCAGTTTTAGTGATTTTTTACACTTTTCAAAGCTTTCAAACTTACGAATTTTTGAATAAAAAAAAAAATCCTGGTATAGATTCTTTGGGAAATTTTATGCTCTACAAGAATCCGCGACGTAAAAATTTTTATCTCAAACGGTTCAAAAGTTATAGTCTTTTTAATGAAAAAAGATTTTTTTACGTGTTATTTCAATGGAAAACTTAAAATGATCACCGACACCTTTTAAAATTGAGCAAAAAATTTTGCCTTGCAGGGAAATTTTTTGCTCGGTATGTAGGTTCATTTTAACCCATAAATCCGATAGGTTAGTTTTTTTGGCTCACCCTACTATATATCACGGTAGGCAGGAAGCATCGATAGGTTGCACAAAAATGTCGACAAAAACTGCAAGCTGGGTTGTATTTGTTGATGATTACCTATAGGTGCAAAATCCGTTGGAATTGAAATCCTAACTGCTCCTTTTCAAAAGTTATTCATATTTTTATATTTCAGATCGGGGCAATTTGGAATAAATATCAAAAGTATTATCTCGTTTGAATTTTTATTATGCAAGAGAATAATACAGAATTTTACGTAAGTTTTTAGGCTAAAACTTTTAGCCGATTTACTTTGTACCTCTTTTTTTCTATTTTGTTTGTGTTTTTTTTTGTTTTTTTTATTTTTTTAATTTAAGTTTGTAAATTTAAATATGCTGTGATGAAAATGTAACAACAGCTTTCTTTAAGCGACATATAAAAGATGGTTCATCTAGCAAATTTATTTTAAATCTATATCAAAATTTAATGAACACGCTATGAACTGACTCTCCAGCCTGCTCGGACCATAAACCTAAGCCATCATTATTCAAGAATGTGATTGCTTCCTCCAAATGCTCGAGGATAATATGAATTTTGAGTGTTTGAGAAATTTCAGTACTTTTTAGGGCTTTACGGAGTTCTTTTAAATTTTTGTTAAAATCAATAAGATCAGCTTTTTTGCAGCAAAGCACTTTTCAACAATTTTATTCATAGCTTTAAATGCAGCAATATAAGGCTGTAAACGAAGTGTTCCTGTAAGCTCGTAAATTTCAGGATCCTGTAATTTATCAGCCGCTTTAAGTAATTTCCGACATTGATTGCCTTCAAAAATATCTCCTTGATATACCTAATTTATTCGGCCACAATAAAGCTCTATCTTTTCCAATTTCATCAATTTTAACTATACCCTCCCAGAAAAGATGGTTGACAAACCCTTGTAATAGGTGTAGTTCAGGAGGAATACACTTCTGAAGTACGTACATGTTATCATCGTCAGTAGTACCGTCTTCAATAAATAAAGAGTAATGAACTGTACTGCGACATTCTTTAGATTTTTTTTGTCGTTACCCAAGCTCTTGAATTTAAAGTAGTCATCTTTTAAATGTTTGTAAGTCTTTAAATAAAGATTTTTGTCATCACTGCTTATATCATTTTCCTCAATCATTTTATCATAACTTTTTAATTCATTTAACGTGACGAAGCAATAAGGGCAAGGGTAGGAAGCTGTTGCAGTTTGCTGCCCATTGCCAATAGAACGAGCTTTAAATCTCCAAGAAATTTAAAGGGTATCTCATTCAGTTTCGTCAATTCAACCAAAATTTTAAAATTATCATAGGCACTATGCCTAATAAAAGCAATTTAAACACACTAGTCAATTTGCGTTTATTTGCCATACTTCCACTAGTAGAGTAAGCTGAAACGTTTTTACCTTTATCCAAGTCATTTTGTTTCAAGTTGTCTTCTGGAATTAATAATTAAAGAGAAATTTTGAAGAAATATTGTCCTCCATCTGCCATTACTTTTATTTTTGATTGTTCTATGTGTTCAATGTTTTGTTTTTCAAAGATAAAGTCAACGAGTTCTGATGCAGTAGCATACACAACTAGCCTCTTTTTAATTCCATCGTTGGATGTTTCGAATTCGTAGAAACCATCTTTATAAAGGTGTTCCAGCATATTAGATTTTTCATACAAATTTTGATTATAATTCATGGGAACTGATTTTCTACGCGCAGAACTACGAATGAAGTTAGCCAATTTTTTCATGTAATTTGTAGACGATCCAGTATTAGCTTGGAAGTTATCTAATTTTTCGGCAGAAAATCTTACTTCTTTTTCTTTATTTACAGTTACCCGAACCTTCGATCCAAGAGTATTTAACACGAGCTCATCTTTAGCCTTGTTATCATTAATATCCAACAATGCATTGTTGGATATTTTTCTTTTCAAAAGTTTAGTTATTATTTGGTTCTGCTGTTTTTGGGGTAACTGTTGTACTATATTCAATATATTTTCACGAGCATTAGAATTAGAAGGACCTCTGCAAGAATGTGATATGCCTTTACCTATTTGTTGAAAACAACTGTTACATAATTCAGTAGAAGTTCTCGGTTTGGTTGCCTTTGCTTCATTTTTAGAAAGTAAATCTTTTTGTTGCGAAGTATCGTCAAAACAATTGTTTACGTCAATATTTGTAGAGAAATCCCTAATTTGACCTCTACCTTTTTTATTTTTGACCCGTAACTCGTGCTGTTAGACAGATGTAACAATTACAACCCATCGTTCTTGTTTCCTTTGATAATTTAAGATCCTTGTAATTGGGCATTGTTGGACGAGGTCTTTTAAAAATATCATTTCCATATTCATTTATAGTTAGTCGGCAAGAGCTACATAAACTTTTTGGGCATTTACTATTATAAATATTAAATTCATCATTGATATGCTTTTTTATAACTTCAATGTGTTTTTCAGATAGCAAGAAATGATGGGAAGGTTTATTTTGGAAAATATTTTTTTCCCACAGAGAGCGCATACTTTTGAGCGATTTTCTTCATGATCGCATTTATAAAGCGGATGCTGACTATTTACCCGACTATTCATTATATTATTTACTCTTCTGATATGATATATATATGTATACATATATCAATGAGATTTCTAAAACAAGAAAATATAAATAAATTGTCTGGAAAACTCTTATAATATTAAACAAACAGGGTAAGTGCCAAAATTCAGAAACAGAGATATTAAAGAAAAACTAAATTATTACTGGATTGGATTTGTAGGTTCCCTCACTTTTGATATTGGATTCCAACTGTGTCCGGCAATCTTGGCACTTACCACTTTTTGAGGGTATAGCTGATGGTACTTTGAATGTTTTTACGCAAAAATAACAAAATAATGAAAAATGACACTTAGCCTACAGGCCTGTTTGTACCGAACACCCTTCAATTATTTAAACTTTACTTTTTTATTGCGGGAAACACTTGACTGCCCTTCCAGTTATTGTAATTATTATATACATAGAGATTATTATTATTATTCGGCATTTTCTTTTTTTTTTTGTTTTTCGGTAATAAAATGTGTATTTATTTATAGTACAACATTTTTAGTGGTATATTTTTTTATTTCGAAATAAAAATTCAAAAGAAAAAGTAAAAAAAGTGTTTTGGAGCATGCACGAGCAGTTAATGCGACAGAATCGAGTGGTAATACTGATAATACCTAATAATAATTACAAAGACGTTGTTAACAACTTACCAATAAATATACAATTACATATTTTATTTATTTATCACTATATTGTTATAACAAAATTAACAAGAACTCTACAATTGTTGTACAACGCGTAGCCACGCTATCGCAAATGACATTTAATAAAATGACAGTTATAAATGCACAGTCTACTACGTAATATGGGGGAGTTGCTTGAAGCAACTTGCAACTTGCTTCCAATAATTATTATTAACTATTGTTTAATAATTATGCCCAAACTTTTAGTATTGGATACTATGTATTAATTTATGTAATATAAATAGTACCTATACCTATACTAATATATACACAGGGTGTGCTAAATAAGACGGGAACACCCCATTATTTTGGAATGCGTTGAACAATTAAAATTATTTTTTTTGTGGAGATAGTGCCATCCATTTCAAATTGCCCCGATCTGAAATATAAAAATATGAATAACTTTTGAAAAGGAGCAGTTAGGATTTCAATTCCAACGGATTTTGCACCTATAATCATCAACAAATACAACCCAGCTTGCAGGTTTTGTCGACATTTTTGTGCAACCTATCGATACTTCCTGCCTACCGTGATATATATCTATAGATAGAAATGTTTTTACAACTTTTAATATTATTGGCCGTATTGTGACAATATGCGAATTTACTTCTTCTTTCTTGGTGGCCAAAAGCCTTAATGGTTTCAATGTACCATTTTGACCAGCAACAAGTTTAAACGTCCATGCGCTCCACGAAGCTATCCACCCATAGACACGTGAATTTTCCAATTTCTAAAATACAGGTATATTTCTATACCCGGAATCCAATTTTGTCCCTACTAGGTTGAAAAGTCATTTGTATTTCATACTTTTCATTGAACAATATGCGAATTTATAATTCAACATTTAAGGTATGGATTGTTTTTTTATTAAAAATGATGATGAAGTGGTAGTTTAGATGTACACATTGAATTGACATTTAAATATAAATTATATATTATATGAATTTAGGTATAAATGGGAGGTATACCCATATCTATAGATACATAGTTTTTGTTATACAAATTTTGTGTACCTATCTATCGTTTGCTTTGAAAAAATGTAATAATAATGTAATATATTGTAACGTTTTTGCGGTTCGGCAGTGTGAATAAAACATGCACTGGTTTATTAACGAACTAAACGATTTATCTTATAACTTAATAACAATTAAAACACTAAGAAACTATAAAAGTAGCTAAACACTTAACTACTAATTCTTTATACAGGGTGTTTCATACCAGGAGGCGAAAAATGAAATTCTATATTCAAAACGTCATTCTAAATAAAAATCTTTAATATTTTTTTGTTCTATCATTTTTCGTTTTCAAGTTATTCGAGTTCAAAATTTTGAATTCAAACAATGAAAGGATAACAATATGCAATAATAGGATTCATAATTCTAGCAACTAAAATATACATCCATGGAAACGTATAAGTATTTAAGTTTATAATACAGTTAATTTTTTTTTTATCTGGACTGCGGCAACGTTGCAAACTTAAGGGTTTAGTTGGCAAATATTTCTATTATATTGGCAGCTATAAAACTAAATTAATATTTGTGGTTAAGAAATCAAAAAATATTTACCTTTTAATAGGTTTTTGACCAAAATAGTATTTCGTTATTGTCCTGTAGGATAATTATTTGTACAGAGACGTTTTTTAAATCACATAAATACATTGGAGTTTGATATTCCTCTGTTTAAATTTAATGATTTGACAAAAACTGTCAAATTATGTAAAACAGAGATACCAATCCTAAAAATACTAATCAAACTGACATAAACAACCAACTTAATAAAAAAACACTAGTCCAGATAAAAAAAAATAACCTTATGTAGTCTTCTGCCTTATTTAAGTAATACAACCTGTCAGTTTATTGCTAATATGTCAGCAAGAATTATTGATTGACAATTGACCAATTTGTAGTTTATACTTTTTTATCTGTAATATTACAGGACATTTTCAAAAACATGCATTAATACAAGCTTGGCACCGCAAAACAACAGAATTGTAAACTCGTCCAAAATCTTGTACATTTTGTATTTGCTCCGCCGCATCTATTATTCTTTGCATAAGCTGCTCTTCGGTGGTAATTTCGACTGCATAGACAAGCTGTTTCATGTGTCCCCATAAATAAAAATGAAGCGGATTTAAATCCGGTGACCTAACAGGCCACAATATTGGGCCACGTCTACCAATCCACCTTCCATTGAAGTTGTTATTCAACCAATTCACTACATTTCTACCAATATGGGGTGGTGCCCCATCGTGTTGAAACCACATTCCATTTAGCAAACCCACAGGGACATCTTCCAGCATTTCATTAAGTTCATTTTGTAAGAACATTAAATAAGATTCGGCATTTAGTCTATTGGGAAGGACTATAATTGGCAGAATTCGCCCGTTGAAAATGCCACCCCAGACATTAATTGAAAATCTCTGTTGGAAATGTCTCACTCTCGTAGCATGTGGATTTTCCAACGACCATACATGTTCATTCTGGGTATTATTAATACCATCTCTGGTAAAAGTAGCTTCATCTGAGAATACAATGGAAGAAATAAAATTTGGATTTTGCTCATGTTGACGAAGCAGCCATTGACAATACAGAAGTCGTGGCTCGTGATCATTTGGCTACAAATGCTGAACATTTTGCTTATGGTACGGGTGCAATACTTCTCGGTGTATGGTTCTCCAAACAAAGCTATGAGAAACTTCCAGCCTACTAGCAATACGTCTGGTACTAATGCCGGGTTCGTTAAGTACAGCGTCAATTACTTGCTCTTCTTGACCAGCATTGTGTCTGAAGTTCGCACCTCCTGTATGCTTGCTTCCAATACCATTTCTTCGGAGTCTTTGATATGCGTCTGAAAATACACGGCGGGATGGTTGTCGTTTATTTGGAAATCTACGCAGATATTCTCGGGAAGCTGCAGAAGCATTTCCATTTGCGTACCCGTAAATAAAAACAATGTCTGCATATTCTTCATTCGTAAATTCCATTTTGTTTATAAATTTACAATAAACTGACAGGTTGTATGACAAATAAGGCAGAAGACCACATACCTAGACCACATATACGTTTCCATGGATGTATATTTTGGTTGCTAGAATTATGAATCCTATTATTGCATATTGTTATCCTTTCATTGTTTGAATTCAAAACTTTGAACTCGAATAACTCGAAAACGAAAAATGATAGAACAAAAAAGTATTAAAGATTTTTATTTAGAATGACGTTTTGAATATAGAATTTCATTTTTCGCCTCCTGGTATGAAACACCCTGTATATCACTACTGAAAAGTCTATTTATTTTCACGTATATTTATTTCGTCGCGAGTACCAAAGCTTGACTGACTGCTCGAGGCTGCGCTAAAAAATTTGCCAATTCCGGTTGAAACCATATGGTTTCAGCAAGACGGGTGTCCTGCACATGATACTTTGGTTGTCAGAGAGTATTTAAATGACAACTTTCCAAATCACGTGATAAGTCTACATGGAGATATTCTTTGGCCTCCAAGATTACCGGATTTGACTCCGTGTGATTTTTTCTTGTGGGGATACGTTAAGTCGAAAATTTATGGATTTCAAGAGCTCAGGGCTAATAATCTCGATGAATTAAGGGTGCAAATCTTTAATACATTGGGAGATATTAGTCCTGAAATGCTGTTTAACGTGCGCAGGAATTTTTATGATAGGCTAGGGTATTGTTTAACTGCTGCTGGTGGTCTATTTGAACATTTAATTTAGAAAAAAAGTTATTTTAGAATTATTTTTGTTTGAGAATTTAT